CGGTTTTAGGGATGCTTTCTATATGTAATTTTCGCCGCCTATTGCCTCAGACCTTGCTTTTCTTTGGTTGCATTCAGTTCAGTAAAAGTACCTTTCTCTATGAAAATGGAGTCGGGGTTTTTCTTTCTTGAGTACTGAAATGAGGCACAACTGACATTCTGTGTATGGTTTGCCAGTTGCACAGTGGCAGATAGGACAGCACTCCAGAGGGTCAGTGTCATTGCCCAGAGGATTATTGGTTGCCCTCTCCATTTTAGGAAGAACTTTATTGCTCCCGCTGCCTTAAGAAAGTTCAAAACATTCTTAAAGATCCATCTCATCCTCAGACCCTTTTTTTGAACTATTACCATCTGGCAGACGGTACAGGTTAAGAAAAACAAGGGCAAATAGGCTGAAAAACAGCTTCCATATCAGGGCAATAGCCATACTGAATTCTATGCAGGGTGAAATGCTACTGGTTCGGACCGTATCACTCGATCCGGTAGCGATGGAGGGGGTGGTTCGGAGAACCAGTAGCAAAAATCCCTGCCCCCACCCCATGCCCAGCTGAGCTGCACAAGCATCAGAAAAGCCTCTGATGATTTGCCTGATCGTCAGAGGCTTTTTTCTTTTAAATGCCTCTGATGATCCAAGCTGAGCCGCGTGATCATCAGAGGCTTTTATTTTTTTACTTTTAAAAGTATTTTTTTGGCCGAAAAAAAAAATGCTTTTAAAAGGTTTTTTTTAAGAAGCCTCTGATGATTGCGTGGCTCAGCTGGGCATTGGGGGGGCAGGGATTTTTGCTACCAGTTCTCCAAATCACCCACCTCCATCCCTACTGGATTGGGCGATCCGGTCCGAACCGGGAGCATTTCACCTCTGCTTCCAGGATGATTACAAATATTGCACAACATAGAGAGTGTGTACTACCCAAGATTCCGAGAGGGAATAATGACCAGTTTTTATTCTCAGTTTCTTTCTCATGATGTCTGATGCCATTCTCCCTATATAAGCCACCATTGAAAACTCAAGCGGAAGAGAGTTTTCATCCTGTTATGTCTGAAGATATTGTTTGTATCTTGCAACAAGTAACAAACCTCCTTTGTGTTCATGAGTGAAGATTTCTCCATCCTTTCAATGAAGGCAGAATGATTTGAGCAAGATAAGAAGAATGCTCCTTTGCCAATTAGAATTCCATTGAATAGCCCACTTAAATGGCAGGCTATTAGCTTAAAAAAAAGAGCAAGGCAACCAGTGGAAACTGAGGGTTGGAGATACACAACTTCAGGATCAGACGTGTCCATATCCTGTTCTTTCAATAAAGCATTCAGATCTATGCACACTGTCTGTTTTATTGGAGGATAGGTGGGTTTAGCTGCATGTCAAGCTGCACACAGACTAACGTGTAGTGAGAACAGAACAAGTATGTTTCCTGTATCTGAAGCTTCTGTGGCCATACCCTATTCAGCATGCTCAACCTAGTGGTGAGATTCAGTCGGTTCTATCCGGATCGTGCGAACCGGTAGTGGTGACTGTGGGAGGATCTGCCCACCCGCCCGGACGTAATGTGTGACTACTGTGCATGCGCAGAAGGAGCACTCACTTTTGCAAACCGGTAGGGAAGGTAAGTGAATCCCTCTGGCTAAACCCTGTTCTTTTTTATCACAATATTTGATGAGCTGTGCTGGAACAATGGTTAGAAGGCAGCATTGGCAGCTAATTATGTGGACTGCCAGCAGTTCAATCCTGACCGCTTAAAATTTACTCAGCCTTTGATCCTCCCTAGGTCAGTAAAATGAGGACCCAGATTGTTGGGGGCAATATCTTGACTCTGTAAACTGCTTAGAAAGGGCTGTAAAGCACTGTGAAGCAGTATATAAGTCTAAGTGTTATTGCTACCATGTTCCCCCGAAAATAAGACATGCCCAGAAAATAAGCCCAATTGAGCATTCAAGCACACAAGCCATAATAAACCCCCCTGAAAATAAGTCCCCCCCAAAAAAAACCTTATATGCATGCACAGCTGCCATCCAAACAGCATGAGGTGAGGAGGCAAGGGGGGCAAATGGTGGGGGAACATGCCCCACGCGCACCTGCCATCCACCCGGAACTGCCTCACAGAGGCCGCTCCTGCAAACCGTAGCTTGCGCACCCCTTCTCTTAGTGGTGGCCGCAAAAAGTGGCCGCAAACTCTTGCCAGCCCTAGCCCTGTTGACCTGGGGGAGGGGTACTGGCACCAGAGCTCCAAACAGTGGGCGGTGCAGGCTGTCTGCGCAGACATGAAGTGGGATCGGCATGGCTGGTTCTTGCCCGCAGCATTGCCAGTGAGGATCAGGTCAGAGCCGCTGCCACTGCTGCTGCCACCCAAGATCAGCAGGCCAGATTTGGTGAGCCGGACACACTGCTGCCACTCGGGAGAAGAGAGAGAGGAGGCGCTGCGAGAGAGCCCATTTCTTACTTTCTTCTCCTCCTGGTGGCAGCAGCATGTTCAGCTCCCCAAATAAAGGCTTGCCAATCTCGGCTGCGAGGGGGAGTGGTAGATGGGGAGGGGTGGAGAGGCGGAGAGGCGGAGGCAGGGAAGCAAGAATTCTGCTGCTCACCCAAATCCCAGATCTTCCGTTTGCCCTGCAGGCTCTTCAAGAGGAAGACGATCAAGCCAGTCTGTGGCTTTTGCAATCCAAGCCAGCGCTTCTTCACCTGCTCCCCTTTCCTGCCCCCTGGAGCCGAAGCAGAGAACAATAGGATGGCTGGGAAGAGTTTAAAAGAGAGAATCCAAGGTGCTGGTTCTCAAGTTACACACCACTGGGGGGAGGGGGGAAAGGGGAGCAGGAGAAGAAGTGATGACATCAAAGCACATGAACTCCTTGAGATTTAATATATTTATCCATGTTTAGAAAATGATTTAAAACACATTTGCCCTAAATGATATATTGGTTCATGGCAGAAGTGGGAGTCACATACTGTAACAACTGGTTCAGCCAGAACCGAAAATATGAGCGCCCACAGTAGCAAAGACACACAATTATATAGGATAGTGGCAGGGCAGGTGGGCAGGTCCAGCCGCTGGTCATAACTACTGGTTTGCCCGAACCGGCAGCAGCCCACCACTGGTTCATGGACATCTGACCATGATGGTTTTTCCACTTAGTTTTTGTTTCAGTTTTAGGGGAAGTGGTGGGTTGCCCTGGTTCACACTGGTTCTATAGAACCAATAGTAAAACTGGCAGGAGGCTCCGCCCACTGACCCTGACATCATCAAATGCTTGCGCAGAAGAGTGCACGTGCGCATGAGCGAAGCGAGAGCGCATGTGAGGCCCCATTGCGAACCAGTAGTAAAGGTAAGTAAAACTCACCCTATTTAGGGGATATAGTGGATACGGAGTTTTGATTAAACTCGCCCAATTAATGGATATAGTGGTTTTGAATTAACTCATAGGATTAACGTGTATTGTTGGGCTGTTTTACCCATCAAATTTAGAACATTGGGTTCTGATAGAACCAGGCGTTCAGTTGATAAAGTCCTTTCTCGTGTTAATATTCTGCAAAGAGAAGAGATGTAGACTGGGAATTATGCTTTGCTGAATCACTGCCTTAGATCTCACCCGAGAGTCACCTTTTCAGAGGGTTACATTCCCCCTCTCCATTCTTTTGGGTTTGTTTCTGTCTAAAAGGATGCAAATGACCAGCTGTCTGCAAGGAGTATAAATCCTTCCATTCCCCACCATCCAGTCAGAGCTGAAGAAGCTTCTATGGATGAGAAGCGAAATGTCTTCAAAGAAAAAACAAAAAAGTCCAGTTGAAAAAGAAGCTTTGGGACAACCATGACCTGGATGGCTGAGAATATCCATAGATGTATGGCTAGCAAAGAACAGATGAAAGGAAGGGAAAAAATAACAGTGCTCCAATTTACCCCAAAGGAGAGCAAACTGGAGCTAGGCCCCTCACCCCATTTCTGCAACTCCAAATGATCACAAAGGACAACCTCTGGTGCAGATAGCAATCTTCTCAAATCCCTGATGGGAAATTTCGCTGAAACATAATGACAAGAGAAGCAATAAAGATCCTCACCCATTACAAACTAGGCCATAATTAAGGCCCATTCTCTATAAATTGTGTATGCAGGCTGAGGATGACAGGATCGGCTTTCCCACAATACGATAGGTTGAGATTGGCCAACCTGTAGGTTAAGCTCAATAATCAATAGGACAGTTCCAGTGTTACTATAAAGATACAGGGGTTGTCATGCTGTAGGAAAGACACAAGGAGGCAATCAAACATCAGAAAACTGTAACAGGAGACATTGAAACTTTATTTGCATGGACACACATAGGGTTTAAAGACGCTACCAAGACTGTTGCGGCTGATCTCTGAAAGACTGATGAAATCACCAAGCTGTACTTGGTGGTATAAAGGAGAATTGGATCAATCAGGAAAGCTATAGATTGACTTGGAGAAAACTGATATTGCTATGAAGCCAGCTCAGTCTGAGCTGGAAGATGTGGGAGAGCAGAACACACGAGGGAAGGTTGCCAAGGCGCTGTAGAAAAGGATCTTTGGTTCCATCACATTTCTTCTCTTCTTTCAAGTGTGGGTAATGTAGTGGACTGGGAGGCCCCCAGAGCAAGTGACTCGGATTTTCCTGATCTCACTTCTCCCTTGGTACTTGCAAAAAATGGTCCTACGGTGGTTACTCTTGATGCAGATGGTGATCGGGAACATGGTTTTGCTGGTCTGGTTGCCATCCAGTTTCTTTCCTCCGGAGTTGCAGATGGCGGTCAGCCGTTCACTGCTGGCGTGGATGAAGGTATTGCTCCGTTGACATTTCAAGCCCTTGCGGCGCATCATTCGGTTGCAGTAGTTGTGGTCATTCTGAAGGTCCGTTTTGGGGTCGTCCATATGCCTTCTGAGAAATTCTCTATATGATGAAGCTTTGTGGCAGAGGAAGAAGGAAGTAGCTGGGAGACAGAGCAGGAGAAAGAGAGCCCAAAAGCAGTAGGCCTTAAAAACCATGGCTCAGTCCTGAGACAGTAGCTGCAAAATATGAAATAAGAAAATAAGATAAGAAATAAAATCAGAGTCGTGGTGATGCAGTGGGTTAGAATGCAGTGCTGCGGGCATACTCTGCCCACAGCCTGGAGTTTGATCCTGATTGGCTCAAAGTTGACTCAGACTTTCCAAGGTCAACAAAATGAAGACCCAGATTTGGGGGGGCAACCAATGGTGGGATTCAGCCAGTTCGCACCTATTCGGGAGAAAGTTGTTAACTTTCTAAGCAGTTCGGAGAACCGATTGTTGGAAGAAATCTTATTTTGTTTTTTTCCACTTTACAGGGCTAATCCTGTAAGGAAGGCAGGAAGGAAACATTCTGGTGTTGTTTCTAACCTAATCTTTATTGCCCTGCTTACAGAAACTGCCTCTCTGGTTAACCTTATTACATTGTAACAGCTAAGGTGAAGCGCCCATCAACGTGAGTGACATTGAGTTGGCTATGCCCACACGGTCACATGACCACTGAGCCACACCTACCTAGTTGGTCATTAGGGCAGAGAACCGGTTGTTAAATTATTTGAATCCCACCACATGCTGTAAACTGCCCAGAGAGTGTTGTAAAGCCCTATGGAATGGAATATAAGTCTAAATGCTATATATAGTAAGAGGTATATCTATCTATATCTATCTATCTATCTATCTATCTATCTATCTATCTATCTATCTATCTACTACCTCTTACTCAGAAAGCAAAGAAGTATGTAGTTGTGTTGAGAAGGCATCACTTAACTAATAGACCAGATTCCCCTGTTCTTGACGTATAACATCTTTTCACGAGCATAACATCTTTTCACTCTCTCTGCTTTTTATTTATTTGGTAGAAGTCTATCCTGCCTCCCTTGATTTTTTAAGCTTTATTTTACACTTTTCATTCAAGAGATCAAGTACGCATAAACAATACCTTTTTCTCCCAATTACCCCTGTAACAACTCTTGAGATGTTCAGGTTCGAGCCATGTCCAAAAATGCTAGCTATTCCTAGAAGCCTGGCACTCAAATTGGCCATCAATAGACACATAGACATAAACAACATCTACATACTGTGCTGAGAGGCAGAGGCCATAAATCATCCATTGAGCTTCTGTGGCTGAGGTGGAACTAGAATTGGGTCCTCCAAGTGCCAGTCCAGTATCCAAACCATTCCGCCCCCCTGAGGTCAAACACAACCCTGATGCAGCCCTCAATAAAATTGAGTTTGACACCCCTGCTCAAAATTAATATACAGTATGGGAGTTCTCCTTCCCAGCATATCATTTTTGAAGCAATAGTACAGTAGTCAGAAAAGGAGCTACCAATTCTGAGTGGCCAATCTTGAAACAACCAGGAGGGGGCAGCAAAATTGTGGAATGTTCAGTATCTCTTTGTTGCCATCTAGTGGCTATTTGGAATTTGGCAATCCAGATCTTTTAGACCTAAAAATCATTTTGATTGATTTTTGAAGAATCAAGGATAAGCAAAAGCTGGAAATCTAGCTGGCTTGCTATGCCAAAAGATAGAATTTGACCCAGCTGAAAGAGTGAAGGAATCTCTATGTATTTATTATTATTTATTATAGGCTCCCAACGCCCCTGGATTCTCTTGATGTATAAAACTGGGGAAAAATACCATAAGAAAACGTAAAACCACACAGACAGCCCCAACTAAGAACAATACAGGTAGTTCTCAACTTACAAAGTTCACTTAGTGACCATTTGAAGTTACAATGGCAGTGAAAAAAGTGACTTAGAACTATTTTTCACTCTTACGACTGTTTTGGCATCCCCATGGTCATATGATCAAAATTCAGACGCTTGGCAACTGACTCATATTTATGACGGTTGAAGTCTCCCAGGGGCATGTGGTCACTTTTTGTGACTTTCTAAGAAGCAAAGTGAATAGGGAAACCAGATTCACTTAACAACCATTTTACTAAGTTAACAACTGCAGTGATTCACTTAACAATCGTGTCAAGAAAGGTTGTTAAATGAGGCAAAATTTGTCATGTATGTACCCTAATGTTCAGCCAAAATGTTGGAGATGTGAATGTTTGGATGCTACGTATTATCATGTTTGGTGGACCTGTAGGAAAGTTAAGGCTTTTTGGATAAAAATTTGGTGGGTCATGCAGAATGTTTTGAAGAAAAAAATTCAATTTTCTCCACAACTGTTTTTATTGGGCATAGTTAAGGGTTTTACATTGGGTGAAACAAAATTGATATTGTATATGATAACAGCAGCAAGATTGTTGATAGGTAAATACTGGAAGAATGAAGCTTTGCCCACTATTGAGGAATGGACTTTGAAGATGGCCAGTTTTGCAGAGATGGCGAAGATTTCAGCATATTTAAAAGACTGTTCACAAGAGACTTATGAGTGGGAATGGAAAAGGTGGATAGAATATGTTCAGAACAAATATCAAACTAGAAAGTATCAAATAGCTTTTACTTGAAAATAATGTACTAGAAATTTTTTAAAAGTAATGAGATAAAGAGAAAAATTATACAGGGGAGGGAGGGGCTCAAGTTTATATATAAGTGTTATATTAGGGTTCTTCATGATTATGAGTATATTATAGGGAAGTCTGGGGGGAGGGGAGGGTTAGGGAGGGTTAGGGAAGTTGGGAAGTCTGGAGGGAGGTGGGGGGGGAAAGGGGTGAAATGTAATTGTAAAACTTTTGCAATAAAAAAAAAAATTCAGACGCTTGGCAACTGACTCATATTTATGACGGTTGAAGTCTCCCAGGGGCATGTGGTCACTTTTTGTGACTTTCTAAGAAGCAAAGTGAATAGGGAAACCAGATTCACTTAACAACCATTTTACTAAGTTAACAACTGCAGTGATTCACTTAACAATCGTGTCAAGAAAGGTTGTTAAATGAGGCACAATTCACTTAACAATGACCTCACTTAGGAACAGAAATATTGAGCTCAATCGTAGTCATAAGTCGAGGACTACCTGTAGAAATCAAGCAAAACAGTCCTTTTCCTCCCGTCCCAAACAAAAAGCCCTAACAGCAACAATGCAACAACTCCAGGCCTGGGATCCAAATCAGGTTTTAAGAGCTTTCCAGATCCCTACAAGGTACCATCCATATCTGTGAAGGGATGCTATTCAGGGTGTGGGCTGCAAAAGAAAAGGCTCACTTCCTTGATCCCAGAAGTTGATGACATTTCATAGAGGAGACCTAAAGTGCACTCACTCTGGAACAGATCTGATAGTCCTTCCTCCTCCAATTGTCCCCAAACAACAACCCTGTGAGGTGGTGAGTTGGGCTGACAGAGATTGACTGGCCGAAGGTCACCCAACCCACTTTCATGGCTAAGGCGGGACTTGAACTCATGGTCTCCTGATTTCTAGTCTGGTACCTTAACCACTAGACCAAACTGGAAATGATTGGATATAAGATATCTCTCAGATATTCAGATTCTGAGACATATAGGGCTTTATAGGTAATAATCAGCACCTTGAAGTTAAAATTCTTCAAGTTGAATAGGATCTAAGAAGCTTCTCTAGCTGAACTGTGCATCGTAAGTTCCTAAACATCATATTTCCATACCTTTAAATACCATGTTTTCAGTTACTGTACCATATGCAAATTCAACCACCTCCGAGTGTTATTTTATTAACAGATGCTAGCTATTTGGTTAAATAGGTCTCTCATGAAGTTACGGTCAAAGTCAGAATAGAGAGCTGGGAGGGACCTTGGAGGTCTTCTAGTCCAACCCCCTACTCAAGAGGTATACCATTCCAGACAAGTGGCTGTCCAGTCTTCTCTTTAAAAACCTCCAGTGATGACACACCCACAACTTCTGAAGACAAATTGTTCCACTGGTTAATTATTCTCAATGTTAGAAAGTTTCCCCTTAATTCCAGGTTGATTCTCTCCTTGATTTGTTTCCATTCATCGTTATTTGTCTTGCCTTCTGGTGCTTTGGGAAAAAAGCTGACCCCCCTCTTCTTTGTGGCAGCCCCTCAAATACTGGAATACAGCTATCATGTCACACACACACACACACACAGTCCTTCTTTTATCTAGACTAGCCAAACCCAAATCCTGCAACCATTCTTCATATGTTTTAGTCTCCAGGCCTTTAATCATCTTAGTTTCTCTTCTCTGCACTTTTCCCATTCATTGCTTTCATAAGCTGTCTATTTCTGTAATAGCATAACCTCTCCAGAACTGTTCCAGGTCTAAACTCACCCAATTTTTCAATTTTCCCCCCTTCAGGCTCCCTTCAAGAAGAATCCAAGGTTCAGAAAACTGAAGATATCAGTCAGAGCCCTTTTCTCTTGTCAAACTGACTGTTACATACTGCAATTCTGTGGTTGTATGAAGAGGTTTTTACATCCTTTTTTTGATGTTCTCTAGTTTTGTCATCTTGCATGTAGCAATCTTCTTGAGGAAAATATCTGCTGAACTATACCATGGGGATAGATGAGCCCAGTGAAAATATTGCATCTCCCACAGACACAGACACAGACACAAACACTGAGCCACTGCATTCCTTCTTCTGTATAATACCTAGGCATTATGCAGAATGACAAAAACTACTTAGGCAAATTATGGCAAGAGAGTCATGAAAAGGGTGAGGGTTAGGATTGTATTGAAAAGACATATATGAAAATGAAAGACAAAATGTGAAATAAATTACAGGACTTACTTATTGAATAAAACAAGAGAAAAAGACTAACATTGATCTACTTGTTGCAACAAGGAAGGTTAGACTGGCATTTTAGTGGCAGCATTTTATCCTTTGCTGGTTTGCCTTTTGGCATTGCATAAAATGCCTAGGATGTTACGCATTTCATATTGTGATGTCCCACTTTTGGCATTCTTATAGATTTCCTAGGCATTCTGTGAAATGCTTAATTTCCACACATTGACAGTAACATGCATATTATATTGAATTCATTTCATTTCATTTCGTTTTTGTCCTGATCCAGTTTGTTGTGTTAATTAGAAGCCAACTGTTTTTCCCAAAGGTTGACTAATTTATTTGCTTTAATACCTGGATTTTTAAACTGCAATGAAGTCATAGAAGAAATGATGTCTGCCGTTTGAAGAAATAACAGGTCTTTGGCAATGAGCCTATCAAGAAAAATAGATTGTGGAAACACATATCATCTAATGTGTGTCAACTGTAAAATAGAAGCGAAAGCTATCCCAGGAGTGAAACACCGAAGGAAATGTCCTAATTGCCATTACAGGTGAAACTCGAAAAATTAGAATATCGTGTAAAAGTTCATTTATTTCAGTAATGCAATTTAAAAGGTGAAACTAATATATGAGATAGAGTCATATATTAGTTTCATATAATGCAGCTCTTCTGCATTGTTCGGTCTCATGTCTCTCATCTTTCTCTTGGCAATGTCCCATAGATTCTCTATGGGGTTCAGGTCAGGCGAGTTTGCTGGCCAATCAAGCACAGTAATCCCATAGTCATTGAACCAGGTTTTGGTACTTTTGGCAGTGTGGGCAGGTGCCAAGTCCTGCTGGAAAATGAAGTCAGCATCCCCATAAAGCTTGTCTGCGGAAGGAAGCATGAAGTGCTCCAAAATTTCCTGGTAGACGGCTGCATTGACCCTGGACTTAATGAAGCCCAGTGGACCAACACCAGCAGATGACATGGCTCCCCAAATCAACACAGACTGTGGAAACTTCACACTGGACTTCAAGCATCTTGCAGTGTGTGCCTCTCCATTCTTCCTCCAGGCTCTGGGTCTTGGTTTCCAAATGAGATGCAAAAGTTGCTCTCATCAGAAAAGAGGACTTTGGACCACTGAGCAACAGACCAGTTCTTTTTGTCTTTAGCCCAGGTAAGACGCTTCTGACGTTGTTTGTTTTTCAGGAGCGGCTTGACAAGAGGAATACGACATTTGAAGCCCATGTCCAGGATCCGTCTGTGTGTGGTGGCTCTTGATGCACTGACTCCAGCCTCAGTCCTCTCCTTGTGAAAGTCCCCAACACTTTTGAATGGCCTTTTCCTGACAATCCTCTCCAGGCTGCAGTCATCCCTGCTGCTTGTGCACCTTTTTCTTCCACACTTTTCCCTTCCCTTAACTTTCTATTAATGTGCTTTGATACAGCACTTTGGGAACATCCAACTTCTTTTGCAATTACCTTTTGAGGCTTTCCCTCCTTATGGAGGGTGTCAATGATGGTTTTCTGCACAACTGTCAGGTCATCAGTCTTTCCCATGATTGTGATTCCTACTGAACCAGACTGAGAGACCATTTAAAGGCTCAGGAACCCTTTGCAGGTGTTATGGCTTAATTAGCTGATTAGAGTGGGACACTTTGAGCCTAGAATATTGAACCTTTTCCCAATATTCTAATTTTCTGAGATTGTGAATTTGGGGTTTTCATAAGCTGTAAGCCATAATCATCAAAATTATGACAAATCAAGGCTTGAACTATCTCGCTTTGCATGTAATGAGTCTATTTCATATATTAGTTTCACCTTTTAAGTCGCATTACCGAAATAAATGAACTTTTGACGATATTCTAATTTTTCGAGTTTCACCTGTATTTCTCTTCTAGCTTCTTCTGCTAATTACAATGTTGTAATTTCTGTACAATTACAGTGTTGTAATTTTCTTATGTTTGAACACAGAAACCACAACAACTTTCATTAAGACACATAGGTGGAAAGGGAAGTTCTCCCTAAATGTGTTTAAAAGTAGGGCCCTGAATTGCAAAATTCTAGCCAACCAATGGATAACAGGAAACAGAAACATAAATTTTGAGTTCTCATCAATTAAAATTTTGTAGTTCTTATTACCACAGCAATAGACTGAATAGTAACAAAGGCCTCCTCCTTCTCCAAAGACAAACAGACAATGAAATAATGGTCTTTTCTTCTTTTATCTTTCCAGAGGCTCTTTTGCTGCATTCCTGTGATAAAATCAAAACTAAGACAGCCTACAGGTTAAAATGGAAGCCATCAATTGAAAAACCAATCGAGTCATGAAGGAAAACTCAAAAACAGCATCTCATAATACCAGATAAAGCCTACTCAGCTGTTTGCAAATAGCCAATAAAAATGATGCTGTCTGTTGATGGAAACCTAGAAAGGACTACTGATCTGAATATTATTTCTTAATAAAAAATAAAGTCCAGACATTTACACTGATGTTTAACATCAATACCCTTTTATTTAGTTTCTCTGAATTACTGTTCCATTTCTCTCAGGATGTACATGACTCTCTTTTGTCCTTATTCCCTTTGCATTGTTTCCTTCTTCCATGTTCAATGCCAGCTCCAATCTATGAGGTAAAAATGGTTAGAGCTAATCATGGCTTCAGTCATGGCTTCTTGAAAATATCATTTCAGATATGAGAAATGGCAATGAAGACTAGTTTCCAACTTCCACCATGTTGTTTTTTGTTCTGTTCTGTTCTGTTTTGTTTTGTTTTGTTTTGTTTTGTTTTGTTTTTACAAAAAAAAGAGCAACCATTTTGTTTCTGTTTTTTCTGCAGGTAGAAAAAGGAGCAAACATTTACTTGCTGGCTTCCATTCATTCCTCTCACCCTATACCCCCACTAAGTTTCAGGCATAATATAATAAGAAGGAAGTTAGAGGGAACTGATGGAAGAAGTTATTGTGGTGACTAGAAGCTTGAGCAGAAGTTGTTGGGTCCATAGCTAGTCCTATATTTGAAGCCTATGAAACAAGTTGATAATGTGGTCCCACTGAGCCTCCAACATGGGCCATGCGATACTTGAAAGGAAGTCAAATAGATAAATGGAAGATGATGGATGGATGGATGGATGGATGGATGGATTGATTGATTGATTGATAGATATTGTAGATAGGTACATATTAGAGAGAGAGAGACTGTAGGTAGGTAGATGAGATAGATAGATAGATAGATAGATAGATAGATAGATAGATAGATAGATAGATATAGATAGATGATAGACAGCAGACAGACAGAGAGTCTATGAAATTGCCTTTGAGTTTATTAATATTCCCTTCAAGCCTGACCAATTCAAAATCTTTAAAATGATGCCTGTTGCAATATTTTCAGGATCAGACTCAATAAGATCAACAAGAGTTAAAGATTTAACTATATATTCTTTTATTTACATTAGGCATTCTATATTCACTGAATATTCACAGATAGAAGCAAGGGAAATGGTGTAGGTAGCTCCTTATATATACAATGGGTGGAGCTATATGTGGGAGTGGTGAATTATGAATACATTAAGAAGTGAAGAATAAGTTAACCCCTGATACCCTGTCTGTACACTATTTACATATTGGAGAATAAGGCATTTATATCTGACAAATCCCCCTCTAAATGCCGATTCGTTATACAACACCAGTTACATTCAGATTCAGGACAATACAAAACATACAACTTAGAGGTTAAGTATTTATGCTGTTTAGAAGGTAAAGGCTTCGTTAATATATCAGCTAATTGTTCTGAAGTGTCGCAATGCACTGCTTTAATAAATCCATCCTGAGATAATTGTCTCACATGTTTAAATTTTATATCTATATGTCTGGATCTTTGTCCAATGGCATCAGATCTAGATATTTCAATGGCTGCTTTATTGTCTTCATGCATAACAAAAGGCAGAGCAGGTTTTTTCCAGACATCTGAAATTAAATCATTAAACCATACAAGATTATTTGCGGCCTTGGATAAACAAACATATTCCGCTTCTGTTGTTGAAGTAGCCACTAGTTCTTGTTTACCAGTGTACCAGTAAACTGGACAGTCATTTAAGAGAAATACATAACCGGATGTGCTTTTTCTGCATGAGGTGTCTCCAGCCCAATCTGCATCTGCATAACACGTAAGCTTTGGTTCTTTAATATCATTAGGTTCTAACATTAAACAAAAGTCTAGTGTACTTTTTAAATATCTTAAAATTCTTTTAACAGCTTCCCAGTGGTACATTGTTGGTTTGCTGACATGCCTAGATAATAAATTGAGTGGTAAAGCGATGTCCGGTCTAGTCCAATTAGATATGTAAAGGAGTGAACCTATGATTGATCTATAGAATGTATTGTCCTTGAACTCGGGAGAAGATTCATCAGAATTCCTTAGAAAGTCAGTTTGCATAGGGGTATCACAAGGTTTGGCATTGTTTAAGTTGCATTTATTTAAAAGATCTATGATCTTATCTCTCTGGGTAAGTTTGAATCCCCTTTTTGTCTTATTAATTTGGACACCAAGGTATTTGTTTACCTTGCCTAAAGATTTCAATGAGAAATGTTCATTTA